TCTTAGTCCGACACATTTCGATGAGTTCCGTGCGTAGTTCCTTCTGAGCCTCCGTCAGTACCCAGTCGGGGTCGTATTCTGCCCCCAGCCCCCAGTACTCGCTCCGTCCCCAGGGTTTCATCTGTGGACATGGAAGTAGACGAAATAAATAAGGAAATAAAGAAAGGTGAATTGATAATGAAGAAGCTGAAGGAAGACTGAAACAAACACATGATAACTGATGGATAAATTAATGTCCAAAGAAAAGCAAGTAAATAACACGGTGATTGCCGATTACGTTAAAATAATAAAAGCATACATTATACTAGACAGGTGACTAGAGGTAGATTTAACTCGTTCGGATATCGTTGTTACGTGTTTTGGCCAATTATCCGAAATTGCTTTTATTGTTACTGGCGCTTGTCTCATGATTATAGTTTATTAACGTAAACATTAATACTTATGTTGAAGAAAATTTAAACTAAATTTTCAAAAAATATATATCGCAAGTCCCTGTTACTCCAGGAGATCCATAAACATCGCCCTCAGGCACTCATCCGACCGAAGTATTTCCTTTCGGTTGAAAATTATTCTTTTTCTGAGCATATTATTTCATTTATCGGTGAACGCATTTTCCTCTATCTCCGTGCGTTGCTCTCGATAACATAAATCACATTTTCCTATTTATATATCAAAGTATTACAACTGTCTTATTAACAACTTGCGAAGGAAATTCCATAGATGAAAAGTATCTTACTTTCGGTCATTCTGCCCATTACAGACAAAATCTACCTTGTATTATATGGCTATGGGAAATTGAAACTATGGCTCTCAGGTTTACACTGTTCTGTATTCGTGACGTCATTAACAGTTTACTGCATATATGTACGAACGTAAAACGACTTAAGCGAATATATATGATTTAGAGCTGATCTACAGTTCGTTACAATGTGCCTTTGGGGCGCAAATTTTATTTTCTACGTAGAAAAAGTAATGGAACTGTACATCCTTATGTGTCTTCTTTCTAATTTGTCTTTTGAATCATCGAGCGAGAGAGCCCTAAATGTCTACTGTAGCATTCCTGAAAAGTAGCGGTTTAGTGATAAAAACAGGACACCGAAACGAGTGACTTACTCGTACATGCCGTTGGCTCATTTTTTGCGCATACACCTATTTCTATAAACAAACAAGTCAGCCAGTCGTGTGAACGGAAAATAACCTGTTTTGCATTTTTTCGTCGAGAAATCACAGCTTTAACGTATGTAAAAAGCACCAGTTAACGTAATTGTCAGATTGTTCATAGGGTGACAACAGCGTAATACTTTAACCTTGAAACGGTAATCCGATAAATGACCGAGGCCTAAAGTATGAGTTCGTTCGTTTGTGTGCCTTCAAAAGAGGAAATGCAGCGATAGATGTTTTATTATCTACTTGTAAGATGTAAGTATAGCAGCCCATTTAAAAAGAGAAAGGGCGAATGAAATTGTTTTAAAAGATTATGTTTTAAAGTTGAATATATATAGACGAGTATTGGAACTCGTTCACTTCAACGGCAGCTGTGGTCACTTGACAGTACCTATTGGAGTTTTTAAGATATGGTTGAACATAAATAAATTGTATCTCATCAGTTATGGGGAATAAAGCAAGAAGCAACATAGATTAATCTTTAGAATCCATTAAAGTATTCATTCAGTAAACAAATTCTAACAGAAAGAGCGAGGCCACAGCGACACAAGAACATATTATTTCATTCGATTGAATTATCACTGTCGCTAATTGTTTTCATCCTTAATGATCAGGTTACCAATAAGAGTTATACTGTAACATTACAGATCATACTTCTATTATTACAAAAGGTTGACAGGTTCATAATTTGTGTTAAGATTCCTGTAATAACTCGTATATTTCGAAGTCGAAGAGGAACTAATGGCGGAGGAGGAGATTTACAAATCATATCGAAGATTAACAAATGTCTCTTGGTGGACGAAAATTACTCAATATAGGTAACCACTATACACCATATCTCTCCGGCTCACACATATTAAAAAGCACTTCTGAAAACAAAACTTTGTTTTTTTTGTTTTTGTTTTTTTACCACAATACCTATTGCCGTGAACCGAATTTTAGACACACAACCTCCGGCCAATCGTTACAAGCCAATATACTGTCGAAAGCAAGGTTCCGTTCCCACGCTAGACAGTGTTTCTTCGCATTTCGTTTTTCTCAAGTCATAAGACCAAGAAAACCGTGTTATTGATGAGGGGTCTAAACAAGAAGCTTATTATTGTTGTTGAAACTTTATTGAGAGTGAGAGAGAGAGTGAGAGTGAGTGATCGAGAAGAGTGAGAGAGAGAGAGGAGAGAGTGAGAGGAGAGCGAGGGATAGAGAGAGTGAGAGCGAGGATAAGAGAGAGAGAAGTGAGAGGAGAGAGAGAGAGAGAGAGGGATAGAGAGAGAGAGAGAGGAGGGATGGGATAGTGAGAGAGAGAGACGAGAGGAGAGAGAGGAGAGAGAGAGAGAGA